AGTCTGTAGTATTTATACCTGACCTGCCACCTGTTACAGTAAGTTGTGTGTAGTCTGTAGTATTTATACCTGACCTGCCACCTGTTACAGTAAGTTGTTTGTAGTCTGTAGTATTTATACCTGACCTGCCACCTGTTACAGTAAGTTGTTTGTAGTCTGTAGTATTTATACTTGACCTGCCACCTGTTACAGTAAATTGTTTGTAGTATTTATTCCTGACCTGCCACCTGTTACAGTAAGTTGTTTGTAGTCTGTAGTATTTATACTTGTCCTGCCACCTGTTACTGTAAGTTGTGTGAAGGCTGTAGTATTTATACTTGTCCTGCCACCTGTTACAGTAAGTTGCTTGTAGTCTGTAGTATTTATACCTGACCTGCCACCTGTTACAGTAAGTTTTGTGAAGTATTTATACCTGACCTGCCACCTGTTACAGTAATTTGTGTGTAGCATTTATACCTGACCTGCCACCTGTTACAGTAAGTTGTGTGTAGTCTGTAGCATTTATACCTGACCTGCCACCTGTTACAGTAAGTTGTTTGTAGTCTGTAGTAATTATACCTGACCTGCCACCTGTTCAGTAAGTTGTGTGAAGTCTGTAGTATTTATACCTGACCTGCCACCTGTTACAGTGAGTTGTTTGTAGTCTGTAGTATTTATACCTGACCTGCCACCTGTTTTACCTGACCTGCCACCTGTTACAGTAAGCTGCTGGGCCTGGTGACTTACCTTGACTGGGTTATGATCATGGTGACCATCATGTCCTGTATCTCCATGATGTTTGAGACACCCCTCTTCCGACTCATGGATCATCTCAGCCTCAAGGTAATTACTGTGAACGTTTCAATGTTGTGGAAATATTTGCAAAATGTTCCACATTCTATGTATGGATGGCATACTAATCATTATTACTTGTAATAGGTGACATTCTTTGAACGTTGAATATCCTTCAATATTTAATTATCATTCAATTTTTATCATACTCTAAAAAAAAGTACTTATATTTATTTACTTCAATTAAGATGTGGTCCACTGTTAAGTCATACCCAAAAGTACCAGAAATTATATGAAAATAAGTTTGCTAGTATTTACTGTTGAAGTCTATGACAAAACTCAATAAAAACTTCACTCAATCATTATGAAGTTGACCTTTTAAGCAGATATCTGTATCATGTAACGTATCGTATCGTAAGCATCATACCGCAATACGCATCGTATCGCGAGGTGTCATATTGTTGCAGCCCTGGTATGAATAGATATATTTTCTCGTGAGATAGAGATTCACTTTACATAAATATATATATATGGATGTACCCTGTTGGGATAGTCCGGTGATGCAGTGGATAGCACACTTGCCTTTTATCAGGAAAGCCAAGTTTGATTCCCCAACTGAACATGTAAGGTACTGTATTGGGTCATATGCCTGACCACATGGGTTTTCTCCAGGTACTTCAGTTTCCTCGCCAGTTAAAACCTGCTTGTGCTTCCTTCCGGGCCAAGAAGAGTGATTAATAGAAACTGATAGAATTTGTTTCATGATTATTTAAAACAACTTAAGTTTATACTATATGCCAGGAACATTTTTCCAAAGTCAAAATTTGGCCCTTCACTGGTAGAATCCGTTTTCGTTGTGTCATTTTTTCGCCCATGACATGTTATTACAATGTATAGTATGTTATGTACTTATTTTCACTGCCGTGATAAATTTGTCCTCTTTACGGATGGCGAAAAAAGGTGATAGTTATACTAAGGCAAAACATTTCCAAATATACACTGTTTATACAGTAAATTTCTTCCCGTTAGATTTAGTTGAATAACTGGTTTATACAGGTTTCCATGTTAGATAGGAAAGTTAAATAACTGGTTTATACAGGTTTCCATGTTGGATAGGGAACATTATAGACAGGTAACATTAAACAACATTTCAGAATTCCTATTATTGCTGGTTTTATTCCAACAGGTGACGGAGTACTTCTTTGTGATCTGTATGAGTATTGAGATGGGACTGAAGGTTCTGGCCAATGGCTTCTTCTTCACTCCTAAAGCTGTAATCAAGGACTTTGGAGGCATTCTTGACCTCTTCATCTATTCAGTAAGCTTAAGTTGTGTTCCTCATTGACTTGTTAAATACATTCCTGTTACTCCATATACTCTGTTAGTCTTGTCCTGTTACTCCATAAACTCTGTTGGTCTTGTCCTGTTACTCCATATACTCTGTTAGTCTGGTCCTGTTTATCCATATACTCTGTTAGTCTGGTCCTGTTACTCCATAAAATCTGTTAGTCTTGTCCTTTTACTCCATAAACTCTGTTAGTCTTGTCCTGTTACTCCATACACTCTGTTAGTCTTGTCCTGTTACTCCATATATTCTGTTAGTCTTGTCCTGTTACTCCATAAACTCTGTTAGTCTGGTCCTGTTACTCCATAAAATCTGTTAGTCTTGTCCTGTTACTCCATAAACTCTGTTAGCCTTGTCCTGTTACTCCATATATTCTGTTAGTCTTGTCCTGTTACTCAATAAACTCTGTTAGTCTTGTCCTGTTACTCCATATACCCTGTTAGTTTTGTCCTGTTACTCCATAAACTCTGTTAGTCTTGTCCTGTAAACTCATATTTCTCTTTAAGTAAGTCTTGACTTGTTAAATCGTATTTCTCTTTAAGTAAGTCTTGACTTGTTAACTCATATTTATCTTTAAGTTAATCTTGTTCTGTTAACTCATATTTATCTTTAAGTCTAGCCCTGTCTCACATAATATGGTAAAACCTGTAATAGTACAGTAATCTTACTAATTCTGATCTTTTAAAAGTTATAAATGCAGTCCTACATTTGCTGATATGCATATACTCAATAATTTACCTGGTTACTCCTTATTACTCTGATATAGGGTAATCATATAGAGAATAATACATGCCTTTTTCCATATCACACCCAGTACCAACCCGAGACTGCAATATCAGCCTGAGGGCTGATATTGGTCGAGGGTTGATACTGGATGTGATATGGAAAAAGGTGTGTTTTATTCTGTTTATTACATACTTACTAATAAAAGCTTTTATCTTATGATCTATTTTTCTTTTGAAATATTGAAAAAGGGAAAATTTCCAAAAGGGGTGTGATACATGTTTGGGTGTGCTACGGTGAGGGCTAATATCGGTTAGAGGGATTGTGTCGTATCGTATATACAAAAAATTCGTATTTATTAGTAAGAAATTTAATAATATGAACCCTACTGAAAATAATAAAGATTTGAGGAAAACTCCTTGTGAAAGTCAGTATTTAGATAAGTGGTTGTTTTTTGTACAGGTTAGTGTGATCTTTGTATGCTGGATGCCACAGGAAGTGCCGCCGATCTCTCTGGCCCAGGTGTTTGTGATCCTACGCTGTCTCCGTCCACTCCGAATCTTTGTACTTGTCCCACATATGAGGATGGTGGTATATGAGCTGGTCAGGGGATTCAAGGAAATTCTGTTGGTAATTACCATTACATATATACCATCACATCATACACAGCAAATCACCCGTACTGTAGATTAGATATATGTATGTTTGTTTATTTGTTTGTTTGTTTAGGGTCCATATGAGATGGGTGTCAAAAGAAAAGAGTAGGAAAGTGGGAAAAAAAGAACTAGTTCCCAATTATTACATTGGGGACAGGAGTTCAGTTTGGGTGGGGCCACAGTGGCTAAGTGTTTAAGGCATCTGACATTCTGCTTCCTCTAGCCTTCTACCACTGGGTCGCGGGGTCAAGGCCTACGTGGGGCAGTGGCCAGGTACTGGCCGTAGGTCAACGTTTTTTCTCTGGGAACTCCGGCTTTCCTACACCACCAAAACCTGGCATGTCCTTAAATCAATTTGGGTTTCTTAAATGTCCCCTTAACAAAAGACATGGAAAGCCTAATTCTGGTGGTGGGTTGGTTGGTATTGGTGGTGGTAGTGGTGGTGGTGGTAGTGGTGGTAGTGGTGGTAGTGGTGGTAGTGGTAGTGGTGGTGGTAGTGGTGGTAGTGGTGGTGGTAGTGGTGGTGGTAGTGGTGGTGGTGGTGGTAGTGGTGATAGTGGTGATAGTGGTGGTGGTGGT